CGGAAGAGCTAAGGACTGATCACTGGGACTGTTGGACCCTCGAGATCAGAGAGCGCCTGGAACCCAGCACCCGGGAGGGAGGCCGAGGCAGGAGGATCACTGTGAGCTCAGACCGACCTGGGCCACAAATGGAGCTCAAGGCCAGCCTGAGCTGCGTAGCGAGACCCTGTCTCAAAAAAACAACAGCAAAGCAGAGCGCCTTCCCAGGGTGGGCCCCCGGGCGGGCTCTCCGTTCGGGGTCCTCCCGGCCTGCACGGGGCGCCCCCGAGGCGCAGCGCCCTTCTTAGCCCGCTTCTGGGCTCCTCCGTCACGGGTGCTCTGGAGCGCACGCTGGCAGCAGCCGCCCGCACTCCCAGGTCGGAGTCCGGGGCTCCTTGCATAGAACGCTTCAGACTTTCTATACATTTCATTTGCTTTTTACCCTTTTTCTTGCTTTGATTTACATAATGAATATTTATGTAAATATTCATGGTGGCGCGTGCCACCATGCGCAGTCTCAATTGCTGTCTCACTGCGCCCCAGGACCCGGGGCCGGAATGGCAAGGCTGGAGGTTGAAGCCCGGCCCCGCACCGGTTTGCAGGTGCTTTATTCTGTTGCTTTTTTTTTTTTGTAGGGCCAGGGAGATGGCTCAGTGGGATAAGTGCTTGCCTGGCAGACACAAGGGCCTGAGTTCAATTCCCGGTTCCAAAAAACTTTAAACTGTTTCCTCTGCAACTAGGAAGAACACCATGGAACTGTATATCTGTTGCTTTTTTTTTTTTTTTTAAATGAGCAGAATATATTTATTGAGGGAAAGAAAGATCCTGTCTGAGAGGGACAAGAGGGGGGCCCAAGCGGGTTGTCCCCCATGCTGAGCTATTTTGTCTGAATTTTTAATTAATGTATATGAAATTATATGCTTTCATCCAGATTTTGACTTAGGATCACAAATTAGGACAAAGAGTGTCTTTATTGAATTTTAGTTTTAAGTGTTTTTTAAATCTCTGTTTGTGATTTACTAAGCAATGTATTTAATACCAATTTAATATTTTATTTGCAAAATGATAGTGCTTGATTAAATATGTCAGTTGTTAATTTCTTTTTCTTTCTTTCTTTTTTTTCTAGTCACCTGCTTATCACTATTCTTTAGGGTCTCTCTCTCTCTCTCTCTCTCTCTCTCTTTTTTTTTTTTTTTTTTTTTTTTTTTTTTTTTTTTTTTTTTTTTTTTTGTGAGACAGGGTCTCACTGTGTAGTCCAGGCTGGCCTTAAACTCACCATGTTGCCCAGGCTGGCCTCAAACTTGTGGGGATACTCCTGCCTCACCTCTCTCGAGATTTGGGATTATAGGTATGCACCACTATGCCTGGCTTCTTTAGGATTGCTTAAAACTTCAGGCCAGGGTAATGATCAATCTTTATAAATTACCTGTTAAGGAAATATTTCTTTAAACTATCCATTGACTAGATGTCACTCAATCACCCAGGCTGGCGCTGCAAACCTCCTGCCAGCGTCCGGGGTGGCTGGGGTCTCAGGCCTGACCTGCCACACCGGGCTCTTCCTGTCATCTTGACAATGCAGTCAGTCTAATCTTTAAGCAGAAAAATCAATTAATGGCCATTTCCATTCAATTTCTTGAATTTTAGTCAATTTCTTGAAATGCAAATATATTTATTTCATTTGAAATTAATCATTCTGAGTAATTTATTGAATATCCTCATTGTCCCCCTCTAAAATAGCTCCTAAAATTCTTAAACAAGCTGCTAGCGATCATTTAGTCCTGTGGGGGGGCAGGACTCTGTCACGCGGTGCTGATGCATTCCTACTAGAGAAAACTTAAGTGGCTGCCACTTTCAGAGATGGTAGCTGGGATGGCGCCCAAGCTTACATTAGGAAAGGACTGCACTAATGTGCTTTAAAAACATTTTTTATGGCCTAGCAGGAAGAAGAATTACTCCTATAATTTGCTTTATGTATTGCTATTACCACTGCTAATTACAGCCTCCCAATAAGGCTTATATTTATTAAGTCCCTTCAGTTTATTTTCCTCTCTTAGTAAATTTATTTCCCCTTTCAGGAAAATTTCTTTCTCTTATCAAATATGTATGTTATTTAATTAGATAAAAGATATGGATGAATTATCAAAATAACTGAGGTCTGAGAGTCGGGATAAATTAATGGTCGACAGAATGGCTCAATTAGTCCCTAATTTGTTTTCTTTTGTTCTGTTTAGATTAAAAAATTCAAGCTTCTTTCTTTCTAAAATTTAAAAAGGCTCAAGAGGTCTAAATCTCATCTAGCCAGACACAGCTACATGCACCTTTAACAATTTCAAACATGTTTTGACAGATTTTCCTTCTTTCTTTGTCATTTAGGTAATAATTTATGGTTTCATTTCATAGCCATGAAATATTACAGTCTTTTTCAGGGAATGAAGGAATTACTATAATCTCTCCACCTTACACTGTCATGCATGAATATTTAGAAAATTTCAGGGATTTATCCAATCCCATTTCACATAAAACACTCCCTGTCTGCATCCTGTGCCCAGGCAGATGGCTATACTTTAGAACGAAGTGAAGCAAAAGCCACTGAGTAAGGCGTGTTACGCAATACCATCGTGGTCATGCAGCTTGAAGAAGACCCAGGAAAGTAAATTTTATTTAAATGCATCTTCTTATATAATATTTACCAACACTTTGCATAATACAATAAGAATTAAAGGTAAATCAGGTCATTTGTCAAGAAGCAAAATCAAAACAACAAACAAAAATAAAGCTATCTGTTATTCATAAAGTATTATCAAGCATTGCTAAGGGCCGGGGAGATGGTTCAGTGGAATAAGCGCTTCCCTGGCAAGCGCAAGGACCTGAGTTCAATCCCTGGTTCCACCAAAAAAAAAGAAAAAGAAAAAAAAGCAGATAATAGAGCGCACATATCACTTTTCATTAAGATTTAGTATTTGTTATACTTTTTTTATTTTTTAAAGAATAAAAAATAGTGATAGACAAAAACAGCATTAAAAATGATACCAACCCCAATACCTCCTCCCACCAAAAGAAGAAGAAGAAATGGTACAAAATTTCACTGAACAAAGTATTAAGGAATTCTGTGGGGGGCGACAGAACGCTCCTGTTATGTTTTCCCTTATTTGGGCAAGAAGTGCTGCAGCACCAATCCCGCTTGCCTCGACATCTTCCTGTGGTCCTGGACCTCCACTACCAATCCACAACTAGTCCCACCCAACTGATTCCACTATACGGCTATTTAGACCCCGCTCACTTCCTCAGTAAACGAGACTTGATCAGAAAGCCTGTCTTGTCTCCGTCTCTCGTGTCTCTTGCCCTGTCTTTTTCATCCCCGTTCCTCCTCCAGGTCATTACCCACGTCTCGACTCACGGGCCGAGTCAGGTGGCGCCCCACGTGGGGCCTGGCACGGGGGATTCAACGAGGGAGCCGTTCGAGAGCCCAGTACGGAGCAGATAGTGAAAGTAAATTCCGAGGCCAACCCGCGCGAGTGCCTGCCGCGCCGCTCAGCCACGGTGAGTGAACGGCAGCCCCTGCCCCTTCCCGGCATGGGTCAGGCATTAAGCAAGCATGAACTGTTTTAGAAAGCCTCAGCAAGGCACTCAAGACACAAGAGATTAAGGTAAAAGAAAAAGATTTATTACAGTATTTTAAGTTTATTCATGAGGTTTGCCCGTGGTTCCCATTGGAGGGCACGATCAATTCTAAAAGATAAAAATGAGCGGGTGATGCATTACAAGATTATTATAGAGTTTTTGGCCCTGAAAAGGTCCCAATCACAGTATTTTCATACTGGGGTTTAATTGATGAGATTCTTACGCAAAGGCATAGAGACCCTTTGGTCAGAGAAATGATTACCCATGGAGAAGCTGTCCTGCGTAACTCCAAAAGGCCCACTCCGGCCCCTTCCAGGCTGGTTCAGACGTCTCCTCTCTCCACGGTGAGGAGGCAAATGAAGTGTTAACTAAACCCCAAGATAACAAGCAGCTTCCACCTTCCCCTAATGAGCAGCTGCTGCCTCGCCCTTCTGAGCTTTTGCCGCCTCCTCCGCCCGAGGCTCCTCTCCTGACCCATTATAAATCTTGTGGTATCCCAACCTTACTACTTTACAAGGGGCCAATTGGGAAGACTTAGCCAAAGAGGCTTCCAAATACCGTCCTGACCCCGTTGCAGCACCAGTTGCTACAAAACCACCTCCTGAT